TGTCAGCATGGCGTGGAAGCGCGCGTCGAGCCTCCCCTCCAACGCCCTCACGGACCCCCCGAAGGTAGACGGCGTCGTCTTGTGCAGGTTGCTCACGACGATTCGCGAGGCCAAGACGCCGTACTCTGGATGGAGGCTCTGCATGGCCGCCGCCTCCTCGGAAGCCAGCTTGTCGAGCTCCACCGTGGTGATGCCGTCGTAGATCCCGGCGCATACCTTCTGCGCGACCTTGTGCGGGTTCACCCCCTTCAACGGTGCACCGGTGCACAGAGGGTCGTCGCAGTCTCTCGACTCTCGGGACCGACGGGGGTACGGCTGGAACGGATCTTCCGACAGCTTGATGAGCCTCTCGGAGATCTTGTCGAAGCTCATCAGCTCCTTGCCACCACTGCGCTTGACCACAAACATGTTTGCCGACGGATCGAACGCTGCCACGGCCACGCCGTTCAGTCTCGAGAGATCCAAAGAATGAGACTGCTGGGTGTGCCTCCCGAAGCTTTTATACCCCCGAGAAAGCAACTTAACGACATCAAGTCCCTTATCCGACTTTTGTCTCGTCATACCCATCCGCTTGAAACTCATCCGAGCGATTATCAGACGGCCGAGAAACTTTTGTCGACCGCCTACGCGGCCCCACGCTCCTCGACGGGGCCACCATGATCAGCCTTCATCTGCGCGTGCATGCTCTCGAACATTCGAGGCAAGTCCCACAGCGCGAGGGACACCTTGACGGGTACCGTCCGCTCCGCCGCTTCGTTTGCCAACCAGCTCTCCCTCGTCGACCACACGCCGAAGGTAGTCGACACCTCGTACAGGATGCTGTCGGGCAACTTCCTCACGCTGAGTTCTCTTTCGGACAAGACGGCATACCCCGCGCCACCGACCGACGGCTTCTCTGGTGCCTCTGAAGCCACGTCCGCGACCGAGTCGGGCACGGCCGAGATGGTCACCTGCGCCGCCGTCTCCCCGTCGGGGCCCGCAAAGCGTTGGATCGACACCTGCGTCCGGTGCATCATCGGAGGCAACTCATCCGGGTCCCCGTGATGCACCCTTCCGCTCATGGGAGACGGTTGCTCGCCCTCGCCGCCGGAAGACACCGGTATGACCACCACCGCGACGTCGTCGGTGATCAAAATCGCACCCTCCGTCGACTCTCCCTCCGTCGCGGCAGCCCAGCTCTCCACCGCCGGGTCTTCCGTGGGCCCTCCCAAAAGCGCGTCCGCATAGGTCCTGCCCTCCCTCACGCCCTCAGACACGTCTGCCTCG